TATAAAATAACTAAAAATCAATATCTTATCATCGACATCCTAGAGCAATAGCTGCAATTATTCGCCGTATTACATCATATATGAAAAAAGAAAATCCTCAAACTATTTCGTGAATGGGTGCAAGACGTCATATTAGTGTTGGTACGACTATTCGTGATATTATGCATGCAAAATGTCGTAAAAAGGTACCAGTACATCGTTTATGTTCAGCTATTACTGAAAAGAGACGATCACGTAGTGCGATGATACAATTGCAAGTGTTGCTGTATGACATTAATGATAAAATGTTGGTTTTTGGTTATTTTATAAACATAATTGGCGCTGTCTTCCAACCTTATTAGCAATACAACTAATGGATACGTTTGGATTAATTTCAGATAATTCTTGTTGTATCAAAGAATATGAATACTTTTCGTAAAGATACATGACGATACCTTCGATATTGTCAGATATTTTATTACGAGGTCTTCGTTTATCTAAAATATAAGTATTATGACAACATTTGCACTGTTAGCGGGATGGGCTGACATGAGAATCTTGAGATCTGTATAAGTCACTAACGAAGAAAAAGTCTATGGAAATCGTTTCAAAATAAATGAAATGACCTGTAGATCAGACAGACATAAGCATGACAGAAAGAAACAACATAATCAAACTACAAAGTCTGATTCATATTCAGTTATCGTCATCGACCTTCAGAGAAATAGTTCATTTTGCTTGGTTTGCATATGGTTATCTAACCATAATCCAGAATACTTTTTTTTTCTCATTCATGTCAAGGAGATTTGTTTTCCCTCGTCGTTACTGCATCAAAGTTGCAGGAAAACAAATGTCATGAGTTTGAATTTATTCAGTGTGTGTGATTCAAGGCGGTTTTTGTGCTTTACACATTTTTTTGTGCAGTATTATTTCGAAATTCAGAGTTTATGTTGAGAATTCATCGTTCATATTCTTGGTTCACATCAAGAATAATTATTGGCAATTGGAAAAAAATTTCGGCTAGTGTATATATATATACTTGATTAAAAACAGAGCTGAACAGGTCAGAGGTTTCACCAGTCACAAGTCAAGCTAAGTCACTAAAAAAATTATCAGGTTAAGTCGAGGTGAGAAAATTTGTTCTCCCAAGTCAAGTCTAGTCTGATTGAAAATTAAACACAACAAAACATTTGCTAACGTGTTTTGGGCGAGAGACAGTTTTTATAGTTTCAGAAACTATTTTATGGTAAAAAGTGCCTGGCTAATTTAAGCGAAAATCTCTTACCAGAAATGGCTTGGCTGGAAAAAATTTTCAAGTAGTCGCGGTTACGAAAATGAAGCCTCTCAAGTCAAGTCATATCCCAAAAATTTTTCGACCAAGTCAGGTCAGACTTGACTTGGACTTGAGGCATTTTTGACCTGATTTATTCACAGCTCTGCTAAAAAGAAACAATCTGATGATACACATAGGTATGCACCAATCCGATAGTTCGATGCTCGAACGGTTCGCTACTGAACATGTTCGGCCTGCAAACTTGATTCGACCGCACGTGTTCGGACGAAGATTGCGCATAAGATAGTTTACATTTTTCTCTTCGGAGATATCGGCTAGTGCTCTAGTGAGGAACTATTAAGACAAAATACCATAGACCTTATAAACATGCATTCAAATTAGGACTGTAACTTTCTGTCTGCTTTATTTGTGGAGTGAGGTATAGCATTTTTGCATGAAAGCAAAGTAAATCGATCAGCTACAGAGGTCACATCAGTAAAGTATGCTTTAGATAGAGAGTAAATAAGATATAATGAAAACTAAAGGTACTTTGAACTCTTAGTGTAATAAAACAAATATAAAGTTAAAGTTGCTGCTTTAATTCATTCTTTTCTTTACATGACTATACCTACTGCTACGGCGTAAACATGGTTGTTCCTTCGTTTGAAGTAATCTTCATCATTTTTTCTATTTTACAGGAGTTTCTTTTACGTGTTTCTTCTTTCTTGTGTTGTTAGCTTTGACAAACTATTTCTTTTAAATCTTCGGTGGCGAACCGTTCGCTGCCGATCAACGAGCCCTAGCTTGAGATTGTTGCATGTCTGAATACACACCATTGCATAACAGATGTTACCTTTGGCTTTTTCAATGAGAATTTGAATTTAATGATTATATCGACTTTACGTAATAGAAGCAAAAATTTAACAGTGTGTATTTTTAACTGAGGAAATATTTTTAGACAATTTTCTACCACTTCCGCTGAAAGACGTTTCATATTGCATCTCATCTTATTCCTGGAAACTGTCAGACAATAGAGATAGGAATAAATTCCATAATTGAGTTAAAATAGAGTAGAAATTTCAATAGTTAAACCATAGACAACTAGCTGCTATCCTAACCTTGTACAAAAATTGACGTATGTTGTAAGACTATATATTGCCATACATTTGGAACGTATCAATATCGATGTAACGATGATCAAAATAGAGAAGAAGAAAAGAAATAGGAAAAAAGAACATCTACAAAAGATATTGACAGCAGATAAAACATTGACAGAAAAAGTTCGAGATGATCTGTAATCTAAATCCATTAAAAACAAAATCAGTGTAAACAATCTGATTTAAAAGCTTTCACTAGATACCATTTTCTTAATTGGCTGAATACGCTTATTGTAATGTTTCGTTACAATTTGAGTCAGCGTATCATTTACTTTAATCTTAGAAATCCATCTTATGCAGAGATAGATAATGATCATCGTACGAATAATAACAAAATAATTTGAAGGAACTTTTGTTTGATGATAAATTAATAGAGAAAACCAACATAGCAACGAAAATAAACATATTTCAACGATTAAAACGATGATAACTGTTCGACGTGTAATATGTTGTACGATATGAGATGTACATAAATGTTCAACTTGAAGTCTTAATTTGAATTGAAAAAGACAGATAATTAATAGAATGATGCTTATAACTGTGAGAAATATAAAATAGAATGATGCATATAACCAGATAAAAGATGGTATAAAATTTGTATTGTTACGTGTTCGATCAATTATGCGTCCTTGTTTTGCGAAGACAACGGATGAGACAATATTTGTTGACCATAATAATAAGAGTACAAAAATCAATATACGTCGACAACATCGTGTTATCGCTTTTAATGGATATAAAACAGCTATGTATCGTTCAATTCCTAGGACAAAATTAATTATTGTTATAAATGATAATGCTGATAGTTCGATGATATCGTTTGATGAATAAATAACGAATAAAATAAAAAGTACTGCTGCGATAACATCAACAAACGTGCTTAGCACTAATAAACATTCTTGTGTTGAATAACGTTTTGTTTTTATATTTTTTCTCAAAATAAAGTAACATATGGATATATTGCCTAAAAGTGAAATAATTAAGAAAATACTGTACACAATAATTAATAGGATACTTGTTGGTGATGAATCAAACATTTATAGTTGAAAATATATATTTAGCGTTTTCTGTATGTTTTCCAACACATGGCATAAAGAAAAAGAGAACACAAAATATGCAGAAATGAACTGAAAATTACTGACGTTATTCTGTCTTTTTCTGACGATACTAACTTTTTATTTTATTTTTGTCTATCTTTATTAGAGCAGAAAGGAAAATTTCTGACAGTTTTTTTTTTTTTTGTTTCTTCAGTGACAGATGATATACTCTAGATATATTAGCTGTTCTTTTTTTACTATTCCGTTCAATGTTAACGTATATTAAATCTTTGAGTAAAAGAGTTTTGTCAACAGGAGTAAGGAATAAGTTCCATAAATGAGCAGTTCTATAACTGACTTTAGAACATTTTATACCTAATAAGTTTTAGCTAAAGCAAATATAATTCAGATATAATTCGAATTCTCGTCGACTTCGGATTATATTATTTAATGGATTAAGTTTTTATGATGGTGGTTTCATGTTTTAGTTAATATTGTTCCTACTGTCTCAGTCATACAAAATAACTATAATTTTGTTTGAACTGCTTACATTAGAAATTCCAATATTGACTCTAAAAGGGGCTGCGTCTGAAAAGAAAATTATTGATCAGATTTCGTGAAATTTAAAGATACAGAAAAGCCAAAGCACACAAGTTATTGCATCAAAATAAAGTTAGATGGATGATTTGAAGAAGCAACATATTTTTCATAGATCAAAAATTGGATAGCATAGTGAACAAGAATTAAGAATTCTAGAAAAAAAGATTTTTTTCCTAAAATTCTTGTTTTCCCTGCAATTGCCCAGCTAACTCAGAATTCATATATTAGACTATGTTTGAAATGTTCTAATATTCCATTCATTCTCATCCTCTTCCACTCAGTCACACGGATTGTGTAACTATTAAAAATTAGTCGAAGCTTCTGGATTTTTGTATCGAATATGATCATACTCGATATTTAATTCTTCTCGACGCAAAAAAATGGTCGCATATCGAACACTCTACTCATTTGGATAATCGATTGAACTTAGACCTCTACGTTGTTTTTGTGATTCACACGTTGACAGGCACTGTATGAAGGCTACAACTCCATTTAATTCGTTTACTATGGCATCTTGATGGCATTGGATAGTTGCCGAGATCAAATACTTATATTTTTGTATTAGAGAAGTAAGCGGTGAAAATAATAATGTCATAATTAATGAATTCGAACCAGCAATCTGTCATTATTTAATCCATCACTTCTGGTATAGTATAACAACTCATGTACTAATCTTACACAAGTCACAAATGTTCTTGTTAAGTCGGATCATCCATCCAACAGTATACTTCTACATTCCGACGTACAACATAGTTTCTTTGCCTTACTAGAAAACCAATGCATAGTTAGTAAGTATGTATGGAGAAGTCGATTAATTGGGTACAAGAACTCTTCTTCTGGTTAGTCTTCTGTCTTCAGGACTGTAGTTAATAATTAGTAAAGGAATAGGTGTCCATCTCTGAAGATTGTCGATCTACTGGAAGCTAAGAAGTATCTCGGTTTCACGGTAACCACCAGCTGAAGTACTCGTCCTTCCTGCCAACTAAACTCTTCTAAACGTACATACGATATAACTATTTGCCTATATTTTGGTAGTTTATAGTTTCAGTTTTATTGTTTTGTATAATTACGTATCAGTTTAATTTTATTAATGCATAAACTCAGGAGCATCTATCCTGTCGGATGTTTGAAGCTTGGCACAATGCCTCAAACAGAAGTAGATGGGCCACTTTTTTGCTGTAAAAATTGATTTTCCAGGCGGTACACTGAAGGCTCGAATCTCTGAGGTGGTACAAAAGGCCTCAAATGCTTAGATGGGAATAGACGTCGCTGGATAAACTTTTTAATGAAGAATCACTATTTTCAACTAAGACCCATATTATAATCGTTCTTCTCTATCTTCATTTTTCGAATAAATATTTTCAAAATGCGATACGTTAATGTCATTTAGGCTCTTTGTAAGAAAGCATGCGTACTAAAATAATAATGACTTTTCATGAGAACTCGTCTCATTACGAAGTTCGTGCTCAAGTGATTTATTCCATCAGGGCAGTCATCTTAATTGTTCTGAAAATATTTGAGTATCACATGCCTCAATTAGCGTGTTCAGGACAAGTGTGTATTCTATAAAAATTCACTGATAAAAAAACGACACATAAGATCATAGTGTGGTCATTGAAGAGCGTTCTACGCTATAAATATCGTTAAACGAATGATGTTGCATAATTATCACATAAATATACCATATCTAAAATAGTATTCACGAAGAAATATGAACTATTTATTATATAGCATAGGCGATGCTCTCCAAGCAAAAATATCTTGCATAATGACGTTATTGTTCTTGGTTAATTTTTTTATGTTTTATGAAAACTGTGGGCTATGTATTACTTTAAAATCCATTTCTTCCAAGTTGAATTTCATTTTTTTGTCATTTAAAATATCTTTTTGGATTCTACTTTCATCATCTGTTGCCTTACACAGATTCCGTTCCGGTTCGTCGACACTTTATAGTGTCGGCGGCTCACAGACATCTTTCATCTCCCCGCCCAAAACGTTGTCGACGAGCCAGAAAAAAAAATTAATGCATGAACAAATCGGGAAGACACCATTACACATCGTCCTGTCAACAACAGATCATTTTCTATCATTTTTGCCACTTGTCATGATCAACATTTTTTGATCAGATTGACATAGCTTTTGTCGTTATCTATGCCTGTATTGGATTGTTTTCGTTATATAAACTTTAATTATAGAAAACTAATGAGAATTTGAAATTTGTTGAATTATGTTTAATTTTGAAAGACAATTCATCGATAAGGATAAAAAGAATTAAAATTTATCAAAAAACGAAACATTCAGATATGTTTTATGTGTCAGAAAATGCTTTAGAGGTCGGACGATGAATTAAAGTCTTCTTTTTTTATACATTCTTGAATAGAGTGTAAAATATTCTGTTTTTATTCATACAGAGATTTATGCAGAATATTACAGTGGGTGCGTCATGTATGTGGTGGTGGAATAGGGAAAATTTCCAACAGGGGCGAGGAGAGGAGATGGAATTTTCGAAAAACCAATTTCGCTAATGTGTATTTTCTGTAAAGTATTATATTACTGCTTGGTTATCTGGTATGAACAGCAAATTCCGTGGAAAAACGAAACTAATTTTTTTCATATTAAGGCAAGGCTCACGCCTAACGAGCCTAGTGGCTCCACCGCCTACGCTTCTATGTCATGTAAAGAGGTTGTACAGAAGGGTGTATGTTATGAATACTAAACCTAACTTTCTTGGAATATAACTGTACTAACTGTGGTTTTGACAATGGAATCGGAGCTGCGATTTCGGTTCTTAATCGGAACCGCTAGTGCTCAGTAATTTCAAGCAGAATAGAGACAACTGGTTAGATTTGACACAAAGGCTCGGTATGGCATAGCAGTTTTGGATGTCGAAAATGTGTGGTTCTTGCGACTTGATGCATCCTAAACAGAACTAGCGGTATTTCTTGTTTTTTTCTTGCCTCATTGTTAAAACCCAAAAAAATTGGGCATTCTTGCTCAACATATCTTGTATTTTTCTTCGCACAAGAATTTTCACTAGGAGCGAGACGAGATGTTTAGTATACTAGCAAAACAGAAGATGGCTTGATGGCAAATTTATCGATTTTTCATTTTATTGTGGAAGTGTTTTTATGTGGACTTCATCGGTAGAAGGACAAGTTAATTAATATTTTCTATAAGCGTAAATCTATCCCATAATCAAAATTTCCTAATTTTTTATAAGAAATTTGATAAAATATCTTTCGAAAAACAAACTTCATTCAACGTTTTAAAAATCTCAAGCACCTCTATCTCATTTTTTTTGTATGGACCTAGATTTAGAATACATTACAACAGTTTGCGGTAAATGTACTGACATCTATTTCAAACATGTTCTTGCGTCTCTGAACTTTTCTTTCATATTTTTACTTGAACTGAATATTACGTAAGAGAAGAGAGAACATGACGGTTCATATATATATATATAAATATATGTATAGTTTGTGTTACGATGTTGGACAAAGAAATAAAAAAAGAAAAGAAAAACTCTCGGTCATCGCCCTTTGCGTAGATTAACATTTAGATTTTCATCTGTCCTGCATTCATCAGCTCACAGATGTAAATCACGATTTTTTTACACAGAATCATAAAAAGAATAAGAATAAAAAGTAATAAGATTTTTGCTAAAATATACTTTACCATTTTCACTCTCCATATTGGAACTCTCGTACATATATGTAAAAAGTATAGGTCAAGAGTTGTTTGGTATTGTGTAACTTTTTTTTAGACGTCAGAATAATAAAGAAAAGTTAATATCGGTTCATGTCTCCTACTGTAGATCATCATTTGGTTGCTGCATTCTTTTTGAAACAATTCTTCTTTTGAAACTATCCTAAGTGAAACTGAATTGAGATAGATCTGTTGTTCACTTTATCTGTCTCGAACTATTTCTGATCTATTTTTTCCGAATTTTATATATTTATGGCATAACTGCAATTAGCAATGTTATTCGATATTGTTTCATCGACCAAACGTCTTGGTGTTGAAAATATTACTGATGAAGATTTTTCTGATCGTTTGTCATCAACTTACACTGTTATTCTGTTAGGTGTCATTGTTTCATGTGTCACCGTTGGTATCTACGTTGGAACACCAATTGAATGTTTAACATCTACAGATCTGCCAGGAAATCACAAAGAATATGTTGAATCCTATTGTTGGATTTATTATACGTATCATATATCAGCTGAACAATCATTGACACGTGACACCGTTCGTCAATATCGAACAAATTATTATTTTTGGACACCGTTTATTTATACATTTTGTGCTCTATGTTTTTATTCTGGTTCATTATTTTGGCAATCATTTGGTCAACGAGCTACATTCGATATTCCACGATTATTGAAAACATTAGTTAAATTAAAAATACCGAATTTTGATCGCCATAAAACGTTTTTAGAAATTGCTAATCATTATGATAAAGTTTATAATTACGAGAAAATCATGGAACCAACTTTGCATTCATATATGAAGCGTTTACTTTCAAAATGTTCATTTTTTGCAGGTAGAATTTTATTGCTCACTGTCACCTATTGTCAATAAAAGGAGATTGTTTTATTTTATAGGTTCTGGTTATTTAACATGGATCTATTTTGTTATGAAATTCATTTATCTTAGCAATGGTATTCTTCAATTTTATTTTTTGAACAAACTACTTGGTTTTAAATATTATACGTTTGGTATTGATTTTTTGACAAGTCTAATAAGAGATGAACAATATAAAGTACTAAAATATTTTCCACGCATTACATTTTGCGATTATCAGTTAAGAACAGTCGGTGATAATATTGTTAATAATACAGTACAATGTGTATTGCCAATGAATATGTTTAACGAACGTTTATTTCTTCTCCTTTGGTTTTGGTTTATTTTTGTGATTGTGATAACCGGTATAAATATTATTTATTGGTTGACAATAATGAGTTATAGAGGGCGTCATCGAGAAATTAAACGACATTTAAGAATATGTGCCAAATTAGAATTTAATAAGAAGAAAAATGTAGATATAAAACATTTATTAGATATATTTATTGACGATTATTTAAGAGGTGATGGAATTTTGTTTGTAAAATTGATACAAAAAAATGCTGGCATAGTAGTAGCAGGTAACATGAATGATGATAATTCAATTTTTGAGCAAAAGTGACAGATTATCTTCTTTGTATTGTTTTCTTTTTCTCTTAATATAGGTGAAATGGTGTCAGTATTATGGGAAAAATTTAAAACAAAGCAACAACTTTCGTCCGTTAAAATTCAAAACAGAGACAAACATGATGATGATGATGATCAGCAATATTTGTTACAAAAACCTATTCAGTCAATAAAAATTTTTTCATCCAATGGCAATAGTCATATTATCGATGATAAAGAAGAATGAACGAGATAATGCTTGTACACTTGTCAAATAGACCTACTTGATACTGTACAGAAGTAAAAACAAACAATTGTTCGTTTAATAAAAGAACGATCATGATCATTTTGTGAGTAATTTTTGACTGTAGATATGTAGAGAGTTGGGTTTTTGCTACTCGTAGGAGAAGACTTAACTGCATCTTTTTCTAACCGAAAACCCTTTTTAGAAGTAGGGTCTTCAAGAGACTTCTAGAAAACCACTATGAATCTTGAGCAATGGAGGTAAAATATTCGTTTTTTACATGATTAGATAGTTCTATGTACCATCTTCAAAATAAGAATTATCCAACTCCTTCACTTTTCCTCGTTTACGTGTCATCAAATTTTCAAGAAGTCTCTGGACCGTTTTTCTATGACTTTCGACGAGACTGAAAACGAATGAAGTCACGGGTTATCGGTTCGCTAAGTCTCATGGCAATATTTGTTTTCACTAAACCTAAAAATCTAGGAAAAAGCTAAATTAAGTGAAAAATATCGCTTCTCGACTATTTTCACTTCATATAAAAATTCATAAACCGTTCAATTGACTGATTCACATTATATTTATTTATTTTTTGTTTATGCACATAACACAACTATACTATCCTTTCCACAATACAGTGCGTATGGCTATTTTTTGAATAACGTTTTACAGAAGCGTGCTAAAAATGTGCGGTTTTCATCGTTTGAAAGTCAAGACCTAACTACATCGAGGTAGTTGTGTCGCCAGGTAAAGCTACTACCTGATGGTGTATCACATCGCTTTTTGAAAGAATAGGTTTCCTAGGCAAACATAAAAACCGTTTGTTCATCATTTGTTCTCATCAAGAGATTCGAAAGTAGATAAATAGATAGTAGATACTGTGAGCTATGTGATGGTGGGCTTAGCTCCATATCAACTTTTTCTAAAAAATTTTATGTTGACGGGAGGGGGGGGGGCGCCTTAAAAATTACACAAAGAGCATCATCATCAAGTAATAGATTACCATTAACAATAACAGTTGGTAGCCCGCCTTTGGTGGTATGTTGTAGTTGATTTATCTTTTTTCTAGTGTACTTCAGGATTGTTCAAATCCTGCGTAGACTTGTTTGTTTTGATAGAGCTCAGACAGTAGTAAGGCTATGTGACATTAGAGGGAAGAGATGGAAAACAATGCTGACAAAATCGAATGCATCCCCTTTGAACAATTCATCACCCTCACCAAAATGTAACTCTATTGACTTATCGTTGGTGGTGGTCTTTCAAAATACTTTTTTTCTCTCGAGCAAAATACACGGGGATAAAAAACTTTGTAATTAATTTTTGATCCCTTTATCGACTTTTCCGACCATACATATGCGGTTTTTCTGAAAGGGGGTATCAAACGGATTCTTCTGCTGTATTCTGCAACAAAAGAAAAGTAATACGGCAGTCTGTTTTTTCTTCTTATTCTATTCGCAATAGTTACTTTTATTTTAATGTCCTTCAAGGTATAATAAACCGTTTTTTGTAAATAAATGTGTGATTGTGAAGCCTCCGATATGGTCGAAATTAACGTATATATTTTTTAATGTTTTTGGATTCTACGATAAAAGTGAAGTTATGAAAAAATTTTTGGCCTCTTTGGACTTAATGGTCGGTGTCTGAGAGTCTTGAAAAAGCATCCTCTTTACAATTTTCGCTATAACTTCATCATTTTTCATCCGTTCTGTTTGACCAGCATCACATTCAAAAACCTGATAAAAACTAAAGAAAATAGTTGATTTAATTCTGTTCTGCTGTTGAGTTTTCCTAGTACATGAATATTTTTGACCAAAAGTCAATTTTGAATCATAAAAAGATTGCTGACTAGATTCTCTTATTGTACATTTTATAGAGCATCTGATCCTGTGCAAAATGCATTAAATAATTTTTGGAAAAAGAAGTTTCAGAACACGGCGAAATTTGAGAAGCAAGACCGTCAGTGGAGGTGATTTTTCCAACTTTTTCTAGTTTTTCGAATTTTCTCGGCCTAAATCTAATTAAAAATGGAAAATAAAGTGATATTCGGAATCAGAGTCACAAACTGCATTTAATGACGTGTCTGTCAAGTGACTCGGTGAACTTTCATTTTTCGGTCAAAAATGCAAATAAAAAAATGGAAAAAATGTCAGAAACTGAAAGTTCACCGAGT